GGGGGGGTGCAGCTGCCCGGGGCCGTGCCGGGCCGTGCCGAGCCGCCCACCCTCCCTCCCGCGGAGGCGGGGACGGGGAGGCCGGCGGAGCGCGGCGGCAGCGCGGTCCGTCCCGTCCCGTCCCGTCCGGTCCCGCCATGGGGGGGGCCCAGAGCCAGAAGCCGCGGGAGGAGGCCGGGACCCCCCAGCGCCGGTGAGTGCGGGCAGGGGGAGTTCCGGGGGGGTCCGGGTCTGCCCCGCAGCCCCCAGCACCGGCTCCTGCCCAACGCGCGGCTGCTCCGGGGCTCACGGCGGCGGGGGAGGGAATAATCAGGGCGTTAATTGCTGACACTGGGGGAGAAGTTCCTCTCCCTCTCCTCCTCTCTCCTCCCCTCCTTTCTCTTCCTCCCTCTTTTTCCCTCTGCCCCCTCTCCCGTTTCCTCTCCCTCTCCTTCTTCTCCCCCCTCTCCTGCCCCCCTCAGCTTCATGGCCACTTCCCGGACACCCCATCCCCGTTCCCCACACGCTGGTTTTCCCGGGCTGCAGCTCACCCCCCCCTCCGTCATTAGCCGCGGTGGGGACCTGGGGCGGCTCTGTCACCCCTGGGTGTCCCAGCTGGGGCTGGGTGTCAGGAGCCAGCAGCTCCGTTCCCGGTGATGCCGTTAGAAATCCAGGAGCGGAGGTGGGAGCTGGCTGGGGGTTGGTGGGAGCTGGAGTCGGGGCTGGGGGAGCCGGGTCTCCCTGTAAACAGAAGGGAAGGCGTCCCAGCTGGGATCAAAAGCAAAACTGGCCGTGCCTTATCGGTAAATCAGTCAAAACACGTTCTGGAACACAGAAATATTTTCTTTAAGTGAGCCACCCTGCGGTGCAGAGATAGCTGTGCCTGGGAGATTTGCTGCTGCTGTTCTAACCCGACCCGGGCTGGCTGGAGCTGGGCTGGGCTACGGGAGCACTGGCCGGGCCACCCTGTGCACAGCTGAGGGCTGTGTTTGTCCTGGAGCCTCTGCCAGGCTTTACTGAGCTGGTGACCTGGAGCCAGGCGGCTGCTCTTCTCAACCTTTACAAACATCCCTCTGTTTGCAAACGTTGGGTTCAGACAGGAAAAACAAACGCTTTCTCCCCCTTGTAAGGGCTCGGCCTGCGTTTATGTCTGGGTAGTGGTCACCTAAACATGAGCTAGAGCTGTTCCCGGGTGGAAAACCCATCCTACTGTTCAGTGTGTGTGTTGGAGCCCCTCCTTTCTGCCCGTCGGACTCAGCTGCTTCTCCTTCCCACCTGTCTGCTCCACCTTGGGCAAACTTTGTTTTATTCCCCCCCTCCTGCCCTTTGTAACTCCCCTTGCCCTGTGCCGGCTGCTTCCTCGCTCCTCAGCTGCCCCCCAGCCCTGCCAGCACCCCAGGGGATGGGGCTGAGACTCTGCCTGCTTTTCCCAATATCGCCAAGTCCTAACTCAAATCATGGAGCCAAGGCCTGACAAACACCTGATAAGAGCATTCCTGCCACGTAGCACTGATATTTTTAGCAAACAGAGCGAAGGAGTTGATAGGGGAGCGGAGGAGCAGCAAGATGAAGCAGATGCTTGTGTTCATAAAGCATCAGTGTGAAAATCAGGCTGGAACTTGCGGATCTTGAGCCTGTTCCTGTTGAATGGCTTTGCATGAGCTCACATCCACGGGAGCAGCATCAGGGAGACGGAGCTGTGGTTGTCGTTTTTAAGATGCAGGAATAGCAGTGCGTTCATTTTTTGCATCTGTCCTTTTCAGTGCAGTCACAAACGTTTGCATTTATTAATTTGATGGCAGCACGGTGGTGGGGAAAGACAGCTGCAGCCTGGGGGGCTGCTCGGGTGGTGTCTGGGCCTCGCGTGTGACAGTTGTGTCCTTTACTTCTATTTTTGTAGAGCTATTTTGATGGAATGTGCAGCGATGGGAGCTGTCACCTCCCGGGGGAGCGGGGCTGCTCGGCAGCGCTGTCCCACGCCGGGCATCGCTCCGGGCTGCGGGGCACGGCCACGGCCCGTGACACCCGGGTGCCTGCTGTGCCCTGGCAAGCAGATGGCAGCGGCAGAGCCCGAGGTGGCAGGAGATGGTGTGGTGTCCCAGGGTGTTTGGTGTTGTGCTTCTCGGTCCCGTGATCTGCACGGACACTGCAGCTCCGCCAAGGTCAGGAGAAGCACAAGGAACGTGGAGCTTTGCTGCAGTGGATGTGCCCCCCCCTGCTCCCGCCTCGTCCCTTGGCGGGCACCTCCTCAGATGGTGGGAAAGTGCCCCAAAACGCCCGTGGGGTTGGATTGGGCCGGGTGCCCCGTTCCACCCCCATCACAGCACCTGCAGAGCGTTACGACAGGGGCTGCTGTGACACCCCACGCGTGGGGCTCTGCTCGGCCACGGGCCCCTTCGCTGGCACAAGCACTGTGGGAGGAGATTTGGGGTGAGAAGCTGAGAGGCAGGAGAGGGCAGGGCAGCGCGGGCAGGAGATGGGGGTCTCTGTCTTGCCCCTGCCTGGGCCGGCTGAGATGATGCCGGAGGATCCTCCGGGCTGCTCTGAGGGCATCGGCTCAGCCCCAGGGCTCTGCTCGGCCTCAATCTCTGCTGCATCGCACGGGGGTCCCACCCGGCTCCCCTATCCACACCCGGGGACAGGGCAGGAGGAGCCCCCCTCCGCTCCCGGGTCCTGGGGGGCGATGCCAGCCCGGGGGCAGCCGCGGAGCCCCAGCCCCCCCCGCCCCCCCCAGGGCCGGAGACGCTCCGCAGCCCTTGGAAATCCCATCCTGGAGCGCCCTCTAGCGAGAGCACCGCCCCCCCCACCCCGACCCACCCAGCTCCCGGCGGGAGCTCCGGGACGCTCCGGGATGATCCTACCCCCAGGGGGTGTTCTGGGATGGTCCCACACCTGGGAGATGCTCTGGGATGCTCCTGTAGCCGGGGGATGCTCCAGGATACTTCAAGATGCTCCTGTACCTGGGGGATGCTCCAGGATGCTCTGGGATGCTGCTGTGCCCAGGGAATGCTTGGGGATGCACTGGGATGCTCCCACACTTGGGCAATGCTCTGGGATGCTGCTGTACCTGTGGGATGCTTGGGGATGCTCCCACACCTGGAGGATATTCCAGGACACTCTGGGATGCTGCTGTACCTGTGGGATGCTCCAGGATGCTCTGGGATGCTCCCACACCTGGAGGATGTTCTGGGACACTCTGGGATGCTGCTGTGCCCGGGGCTCGCTGCCACCCCTGGCAGGGACGGACCACAAGGCCCTTGGCCGGGGCTGCCGCTCTTCCCATGGCCTTGGGTTCCTGCTCACCCAACACTTCCCTTTCCCAGGGCCTGGCTCCCTTTCTAAGCCGGGCTGTTGGGGAAGAGCAAGGTTGAGCCTCTCCTGGGGTGTGCTCTGTGCCCGGGCAGGTGAGTTGCGGGTGGGAGTTACCCCCATTAATCTTTTCGGTGTCACAGCAAAGGTCAGGAAGCCGATTACGAAACCATCTCTCACCCCAGCATTTGCTGCACGGCGCTGCTGGCACACAGAAACCTCCACCTGAATAGTTCTCTTAATTCCCAAAGATTGCAATTTTTCAAAATGCAATGGCAGAGAATTCTTCACCTTTCCCAGGCCCACTTTGAACTGGGGAAAACCTGATGAATAGAACAGGGTGGCGTAAGAGACAGCAACAGAAAAATGTTCTCATGAAACACTTTGCACCTGCTTTTCTGGAGGAGATAAATGTTGTGTGGATAAAGTGCTTATTACAAGCTCTTAAGGAGACTTTTATAGCAGTGAAATATGGATTCATGTTTTATCAGTGAGCTGATCTCCCCATGGTCCCCTGCGGAAAGGCCCCTTCCAGCGGGGCACGGCTGGGGGTGTCTCCTCACACCCCGTCCCAGGGCTGGCTGCAGGGGGTGAACCCCAGTCCCCGTGGGGAGCAAATGGCCCTGCTGAGGAGGAGAGGAGCTGCAGGAGTGGAGAAGAAAAATGAAAACCCACAAAAGATCCATTTCTGAGCTCAAAATGGAAGCGCTGGCTCGCCTCGCCGTGCCCAGAAAAGCTCGGTGGCCAGAAATAGATGTTCTGCTGCTTAATGAAAGGGCTGGGAATGGGAGCTGCAGGTGTGTGCCTTCCTCTGAGCCGGGGCAGCAGCTTCCAGCCCTGGCTGTGTGATTCCTGCTCCGCAGCCTGTGGCTCCCACCCCCTTCCCGGGGACCGAGGTGGGGAGACAGCGAGAAGAACTGGGCACGATGTGTTTCTGGGAGGTGAGGCCACAGAGGCACCGCTGCCAGCCAGGGAGCTGGGAGGAAGTTAATCCCGGTATAAAATAAGGGAAAGTCCGTCTGGATGCAGAGCTGTGATCCCTGGATGCAGCTGGCTTCCTGCGAGGATCGGCATCACAAGGTTTTGCATCTTCTCGCAGCCTCTGTGATGCCAGGGCTCTTCCAGCCTCAAACCCTCTGTTTCCACCCAGTTCCCTGACGTGGAGCGCTGCTGCTCACCCCCTTTCCTGGAAATCCAAAGCAGCCTGTGAGCTGTGGGTGGTTTCTAGGTCATTCCGTGCTGCTGCGGGCTCGGACGCTGTGCTGTGCTGTGCTGTGCTGTGCTGCCCGCTCCTGCCTCTCCTTCCCCCAGCAACTGGGACAGCCCTTGGCCAGAGCCCCCCGGAGCGGTGATCGGCAGGGACAGGGCTGCGGGGGGCTGAGCCGTCCCTTCTGGGGGTACCTGCTGCCCAGGGGCTCACAGAGCTGGGGGAGGATGTTACTTAACCCACGGGGTTTGTGTGAAAAGAGACAAAGCTGGGAAAAATAGTGACTGAGCAAGGCTGGGTGCCCATGGTCAGAGCCTGCTGGGGCTGGGGACCACCTTGCTGCCACAGCAACCTCTCCTGCGCCCACGGAGTGGCCCTTTACGGACCCCAAAACTGGGAGAGACTGGGTGCTTGGGCAGGGTGCTGCTAGGCTGTGTGTTGGTGGGTGGTACATCGATGGGCTGTACATCGATATGTGGGCCCTGCAGTGATATATGGGGTGTACATCGATATGTGGGCGGTGCATCCGTGGGCTGTGCATTGATATGCAGGCTGTACATGGATACGTGGGCTGTACGTTGATATATAGGGCATGCCATCGGGGGCTGTACATGGATATGTGGGCTGTATATGGATATATGGGCTGTACATTGATATGTGGGCTGTGCATCGGTGGGCTGTGCATCAATATGTAAAAAATAGTGACTGAGCAAGGCTGGGTGCCCATGGTCAGAGCCTGCTGGGGCTGGGGACCACCTTGCTGCCACAGCAACCTCTCCTGCGCCCACGGAGTGGCCCTTTACGGACCCCAAAACTGGGAGAGACTGGGTGCTTGGGCAGGGTGCTGCTAGGCTGTGTGTTGGTGGGTGGTACATCGATGGGCTGTACATCGATATGTGGGCCCTGCAGTGATATATGGGGTGTACATCGATATGTGGGCGGTGCATCCGTGGGCTGTGCATTGATATGCAGGCTGTACATGGATACGTGGGCTGTACGTTGATATATAGGGCATGCCATCGGGGGCTGTACATGGATATGTGGGCTGTATATGGATATATGGGCTGTACATTGATATGTGGGCTGTGCATCGGTGGGCTGTGCATCAATATGTAGGCTGTACATGGATACGTGGGCTGTACATTGATATATAGACTGTGCCATCAGGGGGCTGTACATTAATATATAGGCTGTACATTAATATATAGGCTGTACATTGATGGGCTGTACCTCAGTACATAGGCTGTACATTGATACATGGGCTGTGCATGGATATGTAGGCTGTACATCGATGTGTGGGCTGTACATCAGTGGGCTGTACATTGATGTGTGGGCTGTATGCTGATGTGTGGGCTGTACATGGATACGTGGGCTGTACATGGATGTGCAGGTCTGGTTTGGAAGAGGCCAGCATCCTCTGTGCTCTGCAGAGCTGTGCCTGCTGACTGCGCCGAGCAGCGTTTGGCAGCCGGAGCCACCGGTGAGACTGACAAAGTCAGGTTATCTCCTCAGCCTTTGGTTTGCAGCCAGCGGGGCTGCCAGGCTGGGTCGGGTGCCAAGCTGGAAAATGCCACTCCAGGCATTTTCTTAATTGCTGATGGTAAACAGCAAGTGGAAGCAGGTTCTGCTCTCTGCTCTGCTCTGGTCTCTTCCCACCCCAGGGCCCTGCAGGTCAGGAGCTTCCAGCCACCCCTGGTGCTGGTGCCCTTCAGTCCCGCTGATCCCATCCTCTCCTTCCTCGGGGCGGTGGGGGGAGCAGGGGGGCTCCTGGCTGGGCACACTGTGTGTGAGCAGCCGTCACAATGGAAGGATGCTGCCTGTTTCCTCTGCTCACGCTCCCCGGTTCCCCAGTCCCACCAGTGTGTGTGTGGGGCTGGAGCAGTGGGTCTGTGCAGCTCCTGCCCCGCAGCCACAGCTCCTTCGGCTCCCGCACCCCCCGCATTTCCCTCTCCTCGGGGTGGTCCCCGGGAGCCATCAGGCACGTCCGAACGCAGCGATGCCGATGCTCTGGCTGCTCCGTGGGGTCGGCGTGGGCTCGGGCAGGGAAGGGGGAGAGGGAGGAGGGGTGGGGGGCACAGAGAGCGGTGCTGCAGAGCTGCTCACACCGCGGCACCGGCTGAACCTCCCCTTATGTAAAATTCATCTGCAGCGATGGGCTCCGGCGCTTCTCACTAGGGGAAGGAGGCTGCTCGCTGCTGCTCGCTGCAGACGTAGGCGACAGGATGTTGAGGTTCTGCTTCTGCATCAGCCTCTCAGTTTTTAGCTCAGCTGTGATAACTGTCGCTCAGTCCCCTCTTGCTCCACATCCTCTCCGTGGCAGCAGGGAGGTTTGCAGGGCTCCTTGTCCCCCGGAGCCCAGCAGTGCCGTGGCCGGGGTCTCATCCCAGGGTCCGGACACGTTGGAGCTGCTCCTGCCCCTGCCCCACGGTGGGAACTGGCAGCCCCTTCGCTGTGGCTGAAGCAGAGGTATCTTTGGGGAAGTCTGGAAACGACATATAAGGGGATAAGAGATCTTCTTTGACAGAGGCCAGACAAGAAGAGTGTGCAGCAATGACACACATATTTAATAAGGACACCAACAGATGGAAGCTTGGCAGAAAGGATCCCTGCAGGGAGGTTATCTGAGATGCTCCGCAGCGAGGAATGAGCCCTTTGAAGTCTCTGATAGAGGCTGGTGTTAGAGGTAGCCAGACCAGATGGACGGGTCTGGCCAGACCCGAGGCCTCTCTGCCGTGCAGAGGCATCCCTCATCCCTCATCCCTGCTCCGAGCTGGCTGATGATTCACAGGGAAGCACCGGGCCGTGGTCTCGGCCTGCCACGCGAGCGCTTCGTGCAGCTACTGAGGGCCAATGGCTCTTCTTCGCAATGGGCCGGGCTGGTTTTGTACCGGGATGGTTCCCTGCCCTTTCCCAGCTCATCCCTGGGACCTGCCGCCGGGAGCGGGGTTTTGGGGAGCTGCGGGCTGGGAGGCAGTGAGTGCCCGGAGCCGGTGGTGCTGCTGCCTGGAGCAGCTCCGGCCGTTCCTCCCGGGGCCTGGGATGCTGCAGGGCGTCAGCAACGCTCCCCTCTCCAGCAGATGTGGGGGGGGGTAATGAATTTGGGAGCGGGAGCCCTCGTTAGGGGGAGGATTCCCGAGGGGGGGGGCCAGCCTGGCAGCGTGCATTTCTGCGGGGACTGCTGGCTGTTATTTTTAAACAACAATAGTTTAATAAATAAATAAATAAACTTGCTGCCACGGAAGGATATAGCATGGGCCAGGGCTGCTGGAGCCGGTGTTTCCTTGGAAAATGGAAGGGGCAGGTGTTTCCCTGCCCTCTGCCCCCCTCCCGCTGTGCCTGGCCCTGGGCAGCCCCCCATGCTCTGAGCCCTGGCGGGGGGGGGGG